TTATAGATGACTGCCATAAAACTGTCAAGAAAATGTTCAGGTAATTAATTAATTATCCGTAATTAATTAATTACTTATTTCAATTGTTTCTAAAGTGAAGTGAAAAATCGTTGACAAAATACGAATTTTATTTTTTTAGAGACAATAAAAAATATTTTTATTTATTTAATGTATTTTGATTAATTATTCATAATAATTTATGATACAGAAATAAATTTGCCAAATTGTTCAGATATTTATTATTTCTCGAAATTTAAAAACATTCTTGGATTGAGTTCGATCTAGTTCAGCTATCGTTACGTTTCCCAGTGACCTTCTGCGAAATAGCTGCGATATTGTCGATAGTAAATACGCAAAACGTGTAAAAGTAAAATGCGAAAGATATACGATATTGTCTTCTAATTACTTAGCAGGGTTAAGTGCAAAAATTGCTCCACGTGTGTGTACAGGGTGACTCACATACCAATTACTAGACGTCTAAGGTCTCATTAGTATTATTACGATTGATTGTATTATGCGTTTCTTATTTGGTAACAAAAATCTTTCTATTTAATGAATTGCAACGCATTGTCACGGGGTTTTTAACAGGACAAGCAAACCAAAATTCCGTAAAAGAGTACGGGCCAAGTAACTGACATCTAGTGCTTGACCTCGCCAAAATAATCATCGATTGTCATTCCCCAGCCGTCATTGACGCCGTTTTTTTCTCGATAATGGTATTTCCTTTACGCTAATTATACATTTTCGACATTTCCTCGTTTACTCTCGTTGGTTTTATATTATTGGCACCTATTCTACTCTAAAAAAATCATAATCCACACCGATCGTACTATATCCGCATGATCTATTTCTTCTCCGCTTGTGTCCTTGTCCTAAACCAGAGCGGTACCCCGTCGACCGAGTGAATGCCGGCAAGCACCAGGTATTTAGAGAGTGGTACGGTGGTACCGCTGCTGCTGACACTGGCCAGCTTGTTTTGAGACTGACCGTTTCGATCGCCCGAACCTTTCACCGTTTGGACTGACTGGCGGTTCTGGTTCGGATGGTGGCGGTGTGTCTCGATGGGTACGGTACCTGGGATAGTACCGGTAGAGTTCACAGAAAAATAAGTTAACATAGAGCAGCTCTACTATGTAAATATCACCGATTTGTAATTTTGACCATATAAATCCGTGGGGGTTATAGATACTAGTTGATACTAGCGTTGATTGAAGGAAATAAGTTCAGTTTCCAGTTCTTTCAATCAACGATACTAGTTATAGTTATACCTTCGTATCGCTTAACATTGGAGAGTTTTTTGTGGCAAATTTATGGTACAGGTACGTGCGTGACTTTTGTGGAAGATGCAAATTTAAGGGTTTAAAAACAAGGGTTTAAAAAATGCACTTTTTGACCAAATTAAAACATTTAAACTTTTAAACCATTATATATTCTATTTCTACATAAATTTTTCTACAAATACTGAAATTTTCATAGTTTTACCGCCAGATTTACTGTTCCTCTAAGAGTAATTCGAGTAATCGAAAATTTATAAAAAACAGCCAAAAATTGTCAATTTTTCGATTTTTTTCCATACTCATGAAATTTGTCGATTTTGGACTGTTGAATTTTGATAAAACTACTATTATTTACTAAATAAAATACGTAGAACACGAAAATATAGGTCATTTTGACCGTACGATTCCAGTATGACCTGATACATAATATTTTAGCCATTATGAAAAATTGTGCAAAAACAAGGGTTCAAAAAATTCAGTTTTTTACAAAACCAAAACACAAGTCTTTAAACTATGATATATTCAAAATCTACATAAAATCTATCACTACCATCTCTCTAAGAGCATCAAAAACTTGTGAAAAATAGTCAAAAAATGGGGGTTGTATCAAGAAATATTTTAGAATTGCTCAATGTGTACGTATTTTATTGGGACCGGTACCGCCAGCTATTATGCTCGCGATCATACAAATCAGTGTTCTACCTGATATATACATAGAGATATGCATCTAGTGACCATTTATATGCATATATTGTATGATATATATTATAAACGAGGAAGAATTTTCAAGCGAAAAGTTCCAGGAGCTCTATACTTTTACCAAAGCTTTTACTACGAAATATGTTTATTATTTTTTATATCATATATCATATAAAAACTGTCAGTTACATAATCTACAGTGACACAGAAAAAGTTCTCATCATATAGTATATAATATACTTTGAATAAGTAGACTATAAGGAAGGAGCATAATGCTATCCATGTATTCATGCATGGTGGGCGGAAAAATGACTCTAGGGTGGGGATCCTTGACAGTTCTGTTTGACGATTCATTTGACACATTTGAATTTGATTTGAAATTTTGTAGATTTGTCAGTATTTACGGAGCTTATTTTATGTTATTTATTATTTATTCTACTACTGATAGTTGTATAAAGGTAGTAAATCTAGATGGAAATTGTGACAGAACTTAAATTAACAGTGACACTATCGCGATTTATCGGAAAAGACTCTAAAATAGTTGGTTGTGTAGCGTGCGGTAGATCTCGGCAAAAATCGAGTGAAGTAATGGAACAACTTTTAGTAAGTGACTATATAATATACATACGTGTAGTAAACCGATCATTTATGAAATCCACTTAAATTAACTAATTACTGTTTGACCAGCGGATCTGAAGCTACGGAAGGAATGCGAGAAAAAAAAAATCGATATTGCCACGTTTATCTATAAAATTGCAAAATTTCCAGACATGAACTATAAATTTAATATATTTTTATTATATATAATGTGTTTAGCATATATCCTGACGTATATTACTAAGGAATTTTAACGTAGTTCATATTGTTCGATATGTTTTATTTAATAACTTATTTCTTTCATTCTGTATAATCTGCTTATTATGAAAGTTGAAGATTTTTCAACGATATCATTGGCAAACCGGCATCAACGCGCATGGCCGCCTATTCATCGAACATGATTGGTGAGAGTACGTCACAGGATTTGTTACCACGCGGTTGCCATGGCTTTTACGCCTTTCCTATTCGCTTGCTTTATCCCCAACTTCACGATCTCTTCTGAAAAGAGTAGGAATATTGAATACTATTGAAATATCCAGTGGCGGTGTCATTTTTTTGATCATTATTACTTTATTTGATTATTTTATACCGGTTATCCTAAACTTTATTCCTATATTTTTCGTATATTTGATAGTTAAGTTGTGTTTTATTGTTCTGTTATCTTGTTATAATGTTTTTCGTTCGTAGTTTTTAATTATTAATATCAAGTTTGATCGTATATTTGTGTTTTAAAATGAATAAATTTGTTAAGGGTAAGACGCTACATAGTCAGACAAGAGAAATAATAGCTAATTTATATAGGTAAGTTAATAGTAACATGGATGAAATCTCATTTGGTTTATTTCCTTGTGTTCATAATAGGGTTTGCGATGAAGAAGCTACAGAGAGTTCGCTTAAGTTGCCGCTTAAATGTAAACTTGAGCGGATATTTCTTTATACCGGAGTTAGCATATCGGCTATAAAAAAATTCACACAGAAGATAAAAAAAAGGCTGATAACTAACTCCGATAAAATGATATCCAGCTCTGGAAAGAAACGACCATGTGAGACTGCTGTCGAAAAGCTCGACGACTTTTTCGCAGTGGTCAGGAATTTGATAAATAGATTTTATCTCGAATTCAAACTCGTCCCCACAATTCGAAAGCTGTTGCAAAAATTGCAGGAAGAATCGAATTTTCCTTTTGCAGGGAAACGCTTAGGGGGTTATTAAAATCAAATGAATTTTTTTGGCGTAAATGTCAAAATAACAGATAAATATTAATGGAGCGGCCCATTATATTGCAGAGAGAGATTGCATTGCAAAAATATATACGCGAAATTCGAAAATATAGCCAAGTATTATCTATTTGGATGAAACATATGGGTAGACAATGACCTAACCTTTAAAAACTGCTGGCGGAGCGATACCATATCTGGTGTAATAGGCAATATTGGATCTACTAGTGAGTAAAATTATGTTTTGTTTGCGCTTCCAAAGTTAACTATTTTCAAGATTTTTTTGCTGGAAATAGTTATATCTAGAATTATGTATTATAGAAAAAAATATAGTTAGTACAGATATATAAATAAATATACCTCAAGACTCAGTCTTGATCATCTGCTGATGGCACACATGGTTAGCGAAACGTGCGTCCAGTGTAAAATTAAAAGTGTTTTGGTGGATTGTACTGATTTAGTGTTTTATTTTGCTGTGTAACACCAAAGGGTCCAACCCTCAGCTGTAATTATTTCTTCTATTATATTAACAACACAATAATAAAATGATTCAAAATACTTAAGGGAGCTTTAATAAAAGCTTTTAGTGTTTATCTGCTAACTCAACAGTAACGATTCAAACAGCATAAAGTTTTTTGAAAAAACTTATTAATCTGAGTATTATATTTATGATACACATTATTTTCATATAACACCGTACGCCCATGCCTATTTTATGAATGAAATTGGGCGTGTTTTGTTTACAACTGCGTTCCCCTGCCGATACCCCGTAGCTACAGATCCGTTGGTCACACTATATATATTTTATCTTGCATTTTTGCTTTTATTTACTACTTGTCAAAGATTAAATGTCAAAGAATTTAGATACGTCAATTTGACTTACCTGCTTCAGTAGCGTATCGGATGTTTGTGTTAATAAATAATTATTAAAACTTATCTATTTTTATTATAATATGTTTTTATAACAATTTTAATAACTACCAACATTTATTCACAACGTAAAATAAAAAAAAATATTGAGTCTACCCCACTTCTAAAAAAATAAATAATGTACTACTTTTTATATTACATAAAATGCAATAAACCATACAGATAGATATATATTACGTCAAGGCAACAAAATATCCTGTTGGTATCTTCTGGATAATCTGGATATTTATGAGCTTGGCCACTCCCAGTAATACAGAGAATTTAAAACGCCCGCGCAAAAAATTTCCCACAATCCATCTCGATAGTTGTTTGTTTTTACATCGTGTATTATTCAGTTCTTTGATTTAGTGAAATTCGAGGTGAATTCGGTCGTTTGTCGATATTGAATGGGCTTAAAATGACTGAAACTAATAAAACTGGTTAAGTTTGACTTAGTTTTTTCTTATACTCATAGTTCTAGCATTGTTCTAGCAGAAATTCTATCCTAACCTTAACTAATATCGAAAAACGACGAACGACTCAGGGTCTCACAATGAAAAATTTGTGACAAAATTATAGATGAAAATTTGTTGAAAAGCGCTTGTTCTCTATCCCTAAACCCATTTTCGTGTTTGATCTATTCAAACAGAAATCCTATTTTTGTGTTTAAATTGTGACTTTCTGGAATGTGTGGTGTTAGAAATTATACCTGTATCCTGTGTGCTAACTTTGATGTAAACTGTTGCTGTTAGACTCCATAAAGGGTAGTATAATCTGGTATAATACCATACGATCGAAAAAAAACGGCGTCAGAGGTGGCTCGAAAATTGGAAATGAAGATTGCTGTTATTTTGTATGTAAAATTATATGGGGAATGTCATCGATGGTAATTTTCAAGCCAACTGAACGCCGTTTTTTTTTCGATGGTACAGTATAAATTGAAAGCTCTTAACTCATACAAATAAACTTCTAAATTTTGACGCAAAATTCATTGACATAATATGTAGGTATATTTTAAAGCTGTTAATAAAAATATCCAATGAATAACGTCAAAATGTGGCTAAATAAAACTAAATCCCGAACGTTTTTACTATAAACTAAGGATAAAGTAAGTATTGTCAAATAACAGTCCTCATATAATGTCCTAAAAATATTCTATAATGTCCAACATCCATCCTTGTATTATCCTAGAAATATCCCAAATAATCGTAAAAGGCTTGCCTAGGGATGTCTTGAAGATGACTTTTTTGTCCCATCTGGATATCCCATAAATATCCTCCTCTGGTTTTTGGATATCCCCAAGATATTTATAATATCCTTGGTGGATATCCTCAAGATATCTATAGAATTGTGTTGTGTTATATGGGTATGAACCGTTATAGCTAGACAGTTGAAATTTTCACAGATAATGTATCTATGCTGCCGCTAGAAGAACAAATACTAAAAGCAGAATTAAATAAATGTTTCTAAATAAAAAAGTACTTTCACTAAACATTTTCTTTTAAGTAAGAATTTTACATAGAATCTTTCAAGTCCTCGGTGGCCGCGTAGTTAAAGCGTTAGGACTTTACGCTGCTATGACGTTGGTGCAGTATTAAGGCAGGTTCGAATCCTAGTCAAGGCGACTTTTTTTTAATTGTTTTTTTTAATTTTTACATATTTTTACATATTTATTTTTACTTTTTACATATTTATTATTGATTAATACAATTTTTAGTAATGTGTTTCTTCAATTTTTTTTAAATTACTTATACGCGCATTCAAAATTTCAGCTAAATCGGAAAAAAAGTTTATAATAACATATTGTCTAATGTTGTATAGATAATGAATGGTACAATTTTTTCAACAAATAACAGACCGTTTATTGACCTATAAGCAAAACCAAACCAAACCAAACCTAGCCAAATATTTTCCTACCTCGTATATCAAGTTAAATTTATTGGATCAATTTATACTGTTTAATTCATAAAATACTTTACATATACAAGTACATAATATAACCATTTTTTTTTAATTTGAATATAATTTAAATAGATTAATTAAGTTAGCAAAAGTATACACACACGTTCAACTACAACCTGTATTTGAAATAAATTTAATTTCCAGTAATTTATAGTGCTATTAGACTGCATTTTTCGATCCTATTATTAGGTATAAACTTTTTTAATCTCTTAATGCAATCTATAATGGTTATTATAAATAAATACGGGTACAGATACATTGTCATTAAGGTTTTATAATTCATGCCGCCAATTTAATTGGGTTCGGAATATTATATTTTAAATTAATTTTTATATTACGTTTCGTAACCAGCAAGAGATATAGTTTATTAATTTTTATCTTATTGATACAAGAATGCCCTAGAATCGAGGAATGTCCTAGAATTAAAATATTATTTATTGTACAACTCGGTATGCTTTCTTAAATAATAAAGTCATTAATAATTTCAAATTACTATTCTTAAAATACACCAAAACATTTAAAAACCTCGGATAAATGATTTGTTAACTATTTTATAGCATCATTCCCAGATAATAAGACGGTTTAATCATCATAATTTTGTGTAAATAAATAAATAAATAAATAAATAAATAAATGCCTTTATTGTCAAAAAAATTTTCAATTTGTAGACAAAGGTAAACTAACAAACAAAGTAAAAAAAAACAAGGTACACAAACAAACAAACAAAAGATAATACAAAACATTATACAAATAATATTGTCAGTCTTATTGTTAAAATAAACATATATAAATGTTTACAATGTCAAAGAACAAAAAAAAAATAAAATAATATTTAAAAATATTTAGCCAGTTTATAGCAAAATATCAATGACCTTAAATAAATTAATTTCGATGTCATTAGTAAATATAGCAATAGCAAACATTAGACCAGTGTTTTCAAGATCAAATTCGATTTTCAATTCAAATATAATTCATTTACGGCGTAGAAAGCCTTGTCTAGTAAATAAGAGTTCAATGCTTTGCGAAATGAAGAAAATGATGTTATGGATTTGATTTCAAATGGCAGGTGATTGTGCATTTTTTTCGAGTTGTATAATATTGAACTTTTAACTAACTCTGAGCGTGGGGTAGGTAGATAAAGATCTTGCTCCGCGTTCCTGAGTGGATAAGTGTGAGATGACCTTTCTTGAGAAGCTGATACATGTTTACGTATTAGGCAAACGGATTGAAATATAAATAAGGAAGGAAGAGTCAATATTTTTAATTCTCTAAAAAAGCCCCGGCAATGAGTTCTGCTGTTTAGTCCCAGTGAATATCGAATAGCTCTCTTCTGGAGCTTGAAAATGCGGTCAAATTGAGCCGCACAACACGTACCCCAGAATGGAAGGGCATACCTGAGGTGCGACTCAAAAAGTGCATAATAAACAGTGTGTACTTTTACAAAATATATAAGTTTAGGTGCTTTGGTTTTGTTAGAAAAATTATTTATTGAAGCCTTGTTTTTGAGCAAATTTTGATAATGGCTAGAACATCAAAAACTGTAAACGCAAAGCCACACTGGCCTATATTTTTGTTTTCTACGCCTTCTAATTAGTAAATGACAGTAGTTTTATCAATATCGGTGACATGACCAAAATCACCAATTTTCATGACTATATGGACAGCATGGAAAAAAGTCGAAAAATTGTCCATTTTTGGCTATTTTTTACCCATGTAAAATGTAGAATGAGTAAGAATTCCTTGAATCATCACACAATCTATAACCCATCATACCCCTGTTGTAGAGGGGACAGGGTATTTCCCATCCTCCTCTGACAACAGTTATTCCTCCGAGGGTACACACCCTTCCACGGTTGGAGTTAGGCCCTCCGTGCCGCTCTTCACAGTCGAGGAGATTGCCTCCGGCTGAGGAACCCGTGAGGTGGAGACTGGAGGATCTGTCTCCATTTTCTCCAACTCTTTACCTTGGTCTCTTCTTACACCTGATACCGGTGTTGTCCCGTATCTATAATAGAGGATACGTCCCTCTTTCTCTATTGCCTCCTTGGATTTGAGGTCAATTCCTATTGTGAGGACCTGACCATGACCCTCCTTCCTCGAGTTGATGACTCGCCAACTCGATGTCCTTACATTGAAATTCTGACCTTGGATAAGGCTCAGCACCTAGGTGGTGTCTTTCCACTTGCTCCTCGGCAGAAAGACCGCTATGTTTTCTCCCTTCACTGTTCAATTTTTAAGCTTAGGTGCAATTTCCACCAACCATTTCGCCGATTCTTGAGATACACAATCTATGAGGATCATGCCCACCCGAAAGTTTATCCCAGAAAAACGCCGCTGACCCACATTTTGTAGATCGTTGTGTTGCGATCCGATCGCCATTACTTCGTCCAGTATAGCCTCTTCTATAGACGTTTGCTGGTCGGTGGTCAGAGCAACCTCTGGGAAATCCTTTGGCAGAACCGCCCTTTTCACTTGTCCAACAATAGCGGCAAAGCTGGTGGTACGTCCCTGCTAGCCTCTCGGTGTTGGACAGCTTTCCATCCTGGCTTTTTTCTCTCCCTGCCGAAGAAGAGGTGAGAGGTTCTCACTCCCTCTCTTGCCCTTTGATGGAGACGAGTCAGGTTGTTTCTTCTCTCCCCTGTTCGAAGGAGCGTTTTCGCTTTTGCTTCCTCTGGAGCAAGTCCTTCGTGGAGCAGTCGGAGGTATCTCTAGTGGATCTACAAAAGACCTACTCTCAGTGGATCGTCTAGGCTTCGGACCCTTGTTGGAGAAGGTGGTAGCTTGTGTGCCACTTGTGGAGGATGATCCCAAGCAAGTGCCAGCCCCTCCTGTAGTTTCCTTTGGATTTGGTCCCTTGGAACTTTCATTTGTAATGTTACCCATTTTCGAGGCAATTAAAAACATAGTAAACCCAGTCATAACATTTTCAAAATTACAGTAGTTGTAGCAAATTTTATGCACTTTTAGGAAATATAAAAATAATTGACCAAAAATTTTTTGGTTTTAGTCGAAAAGTGATTTTTTGAACCCCTGTTTTTGGGCAAATTTAAATATCATTAAAGTAAAATAAATAATAATGCCTAGTTGATTTTCTTTATAATGAGGTAGTACCATATGCATATAGACCATTTTTCTTTAAGATCATTCTTTAGACCAACAGTTCCGTTTAGATGTGGGAATTCTAGTTCCTTGGGAGGAACTAGTTCCTTAGTTCTAGTTCCTCCAGAGGAATAGTTCCCTGAACTAGGTCTTTAGTTCACAATAGTTCCCGACTAACACTGACATCCCCCTTGCTTGCTAATGCGTTTCGTTGTCAGTCAGAACTATTCACAGTATGATCTGTATAATTTTTACAATGTACGGAGATATAACGAGACGTGTAATTGTGTATGTTAAAAACATATGGGTAAGTTTTATTGCTGATAAAAAAAATAAAAAAAACTCAAATCAAAATTTAAAAAACTATATCATAAATCAATTGGAGCAAATATTACAAAAATTTTACGAAAAATTGCATTTCTCCTCACTTCAAGCTTTTTGTTTTTGTTTAAAAATTCAGAATATCTACTTCGTTTTATAAGATATTTCTTAATTTTAGGGACCTAAATTGAAACATTCCCATAAAATATTTAAAAAACAAACTGAAAATCAAAAACAGTATCCACGACAATTTTCTGTGGTAACTACGCCGCATCGGCTCGGCTATGGCAATAGACAAGGCCGAATCCATTGTCGTCGCCTTGTATTATATCTCGGATCTGCCGACTGAATAAATTCCCGTGAATCCATCGTCGTCGCTCCTTGATCCAGGAAAAGATCGGCAACAAAAGATCGATCTTATTAAATTCGATTCTGAATATATTGGTGTACTGGTATAATAAAAATATGATATAATCATAAAAAATAGATACAGAAAAATATATCGCAAAACCGTTTATTAGCATTTTAAAATTAAAAACTGAATCAGAGTCACCCAGAACTAAAACAGAAACACTCACGAACCAGAGATATACTTATGAAAATTAAAAAATATGATGACTTGTGACAATGTTAAAATAGGAATTATTTGGCTTTTTTCCGTGCTTATGATTATTTTGACACAGAATATATACCGGTAAATTCTGTGATTTTGATATATCAGTTGGTTGGAAATAAGTTAAAATCAAAGAATCTTCTACGTTATCTAAAAATATAAAAATATGGGAATCACCGACAAAATGTGTGACATCTGATATCAAAGTGATAAACAAACATAGCGCATGCGGCAGCGACCCACTTATACTTAATTTTTCAATTCATTGCTAGATGACTGTCTTTTACTAGATTTAGAGATGCACAGTAAACAAATATTCAAGCAACACTAAAGTGTTTGTTCTTATTCTAACAAGTAAATAAACCTGTAAAACTGTATAAATAAAATCGATCTTCGATTTAGAAAAAAACGATTCTACCAAAAATCGTTTGATAAAATCGATCGATTTTAATCGATTTTTGGGTCAAAGATCGATCTTCGATTAAAATCGATTCGAATCGTACATCCTCTAGTTCCTTTAGGTCCGGATCCGATAACATACGGCATACGGCTGGCATTCCCCACTCCTGCCTAGCATCGATCGCACTGGCCCGATCCGTTCCTACGTAAACTAGTCTATGTAGTTTAGTTCCTCTAGGTCCGGATCCGATAGCGTACGGCTGGCACTCCCCACT